ATTGAATATCAATCTGATTATTTTATAATAGATAATATTTTTGACAATGTTTGTGTTAGATAGCTCTAACCTTTTCATTTCTATAATGATTAACATTTAAAAATTTCAAGGTAAATTATAAAAATATTTTTTGAGATTTGTTTCAAATACGAATTGTTTTTTGTGATTTTAAAAATTACATCCCGTCTTTTAAAATTTTTGATTTGATAACAAATGACCTCTTTTATTAATAAATTATTAAGTTAATAAATAATTTTTAATAATGTCAAAATTTTATTCTAATTAATAATTCAAGTAATTTTATTATTATATAAAAATCCAACTAGAAATTTTATTTTTCTAGGTAATTCTATTAAATAAAAAATTCTAACAAAAAATATTTATATTTTTTAAATTATATAAAATAATTTATATTTTAAATAAATCTAAAAAATGTATTTATATTTTGCCCAAATTTTCAATTACCGGCAGGCATGTGATCTACCCCCACTTGATTGGGGATTATAAGTTTGGGGACGTGGAACGCGTGGTGCAGAGCGGTTTCGTGTATATATCACTCCAAATAAGCTAATTATTCAGTAATTTTTTTCGTATAATCATCTGGTATTGTAATTGGCAGAGAATGTGAATAGGTGAGATATTAAAAAAATTCTATTTCTACAAACTTACTTATTTCAGTGCATACACTTATTAATTTGATTATTGATTACTCTTTCCATTTCACACACTTTATGTTTCAATTATACACTAACTCATATACTTATATACACACCATCTAAACCCTCATTCCACACACATTTACCCATTCGGTTGAAAGTCCTCTTCTACACATATGATGTATGAAAATGACCCATTGAAGAAACAATGAAGATCGATTGACTTCCATTGAAGACCTATTGACGTCTCCAAGACCCTAAATTTGACAACTCTATTGAAAACTCTCCATTGCATTCCTGAAGGTGAGGATCTCCCATATATTTCGAAATCTTTTTCTGAGTTATCACAGCCCAACTACATGGGTCTACAGAATCTTCGTCTCAATTGTTCAGAACACCATAAGGGTCCTTCATAGAATTTCTAATAGAAATCAAAGAAGAAAAAGATTACTAGTTATGAATATGTATTTATCCCATCCCATTGAATTGTTTGGATAGTCTTCGTCCCATTGTTCAAAGAAAAATAAGATTACTAGTTGTGACAATTCCATTCTGATAGTCTTCGTCCTAGATTGTTCAGTCCTACATTCTTCAAAACTTCTGTGTGAATATATATGTATATATTGAGATATATCTTTGGTTTTCTCTCTATAAAATCAAAGATTGCTAGTTGTACAAAAACAAAACTTCATTAACATTTGAAATACTTTCACGGAGTATCACAAAATCAATACAAATATAAAGGCATTCAATTACACTAATCACCTCAACAAACCATTCTCCTAACAAATCATCACTAACAATTGAATCGCAATGATAATAAACCCTTGAAACATGTACAACTTTGTTTCAATTAACTATTTTTTCTTTTCTTTTATTTTCCATTAACATTTGAAACACTTTCATAGAGTTGGTGAAGAATAACAAAAAAAAGAGATTTGAAAGAAATTTTTGATGTGATAGAAAGAAAACAACAATTTGGGTTTTAGCTTTATAATTTTTGATTCTTGACACAGCAATAAGGCTAGTTGTCTTTTACATTTTAAATTAGGATTTTTTTTTTTAATAAAAAGTACGTGTATTGAGATTTTTTATTTTATTTTAAAAAGATGTATATAGAAAAAAGGAAAATTTAACAATAAATCTTAAATGTTGATCTTATAATCCAATTAGTCCCATATGTTTTTCTAGTGCTCCGTTTAGTCCTATCTGTTGTCAAAGGACGCAATTGCCATCAGTTATTGTCTAATGTTTGTTGCCATCAGTTATTGTGTAATGTTTGTTGGGTGCCACACACAATATGTCACATGACACACACAATGGGTGCCACACATCAACAAAATACACTAAGGTTCTTTAAGCTTTTTGCCTAAGGCTCTTTATGAGGGTGTGTCACGTGACACACACAATGTGTGCCACACATCAACAAAGTACACTAAGGCTCTTTATGAGGATGTGTCACGTGACACACACAATGGGTGCCACAAATCAACAAAGTACACTAAGGCTCTTTATGCTTTTTGCCTAAGGCTCTTTATGAGGGTGTGTCGCGTGACACACACAATATGTCACGTGACACACACAATGAGTGTCACACATCAACAAAGTACTTTAAGGCTCTTTATGCTTTTTTTCTTGGAATGATGTATGTCACGTGACACACATAATGGGTGCCACATATTAACAAAGTTCACTAAGGCTCTTTATGCTTTTTGCCTTAGAATGATGTATGTTACGTGGCACACACAATGAAGGGTATAATTGACCTCTCAATGTTACCAAACAAAGGAAATAGGATCAACTGATAAGATATTCCCCCACTAATAGGACTAATCAGAACAATAGAAATAACCTTAGGATCAATCGGTAAAACTGTTTGTGAAATGGGATTTATTGATAAATATCCCTAGAAAAAATTAGAATATAATATTAAAGGTATATTTTGATATCTATTATAGTCATTTTACTTTAAAGTATAATTATCATTAAAATAAAATTTCATTAAGTATATGTACTGAAATAAGTAGCAGTAGGTGTGTGAAAATAAATTTTTTTAAAATATTATATTAAATAATTAAATAATATGATAAAATAAAATAAATTATAATTAATTAAAAATATAAATATGTTATACTCCAAAATAATAATAGAAAAATGCTTGGAATCTCATTTTTTTAGACTCCACAATCTCCTTTAGATCTCAACCGTTGATGTATGTGTGAAACCCACTCATGTATGTGTAACTTTTATTTGTTTATTTATGGGAAGAAATTTTAAATTATCTATAAGTTATGAAATTAATTTTTTTAAATTAATTGTTTATTTTTTATCTTTATCTGTAGATTATAAAATTAATTTTCAATTTTTATATGTTTATCTATATGGAGGAATTTTGAAATTTAAATCTTTATCCACAAGTAATGAAATTAATTTTAATTTTAATTATAATTAATCAAACAAATAAAAAATGAAGAAAAATAGAAAACATGAAAGGCAATCAAAGAAAGTTGTCATATAAGAAAGAGAGTATTTTAAAATTATGAGAATTTAAGAATAAATATTTAGAGACTTTTGACAAAACAACTATATTTAGTTATATATATAGTCCAGATACACACTTTTACCCATTCGGTTAAAAGTCCTCTTCTATACATCTGATGTATGAAAATGACCTATTGAAGAAACAATGAAGATCGATTGACTTCCATTGAAGACCTATTGACGTCTCCAAGACCCCAAATTTGACAACTCTATTGAAAACTCTCCATTGCATTCCTGAAGGTGAGGATCTCCCATATATTTCGAAATCTTTTTCTGTGTTATCACTGCCCAACTACATGGGTCTACAGAATCTTCGTCTCAATTGTTCAGAACACCATAAGGGTCCTTCATAGAATTTCTAATAGTAATCAAAGAAGAAAAAGATTACTAGTTATGAATATGTATTTATCCCATCCCATTGAATTGTTTAGATAGTCTTCGTCCCATTGTTCAAAGAAAAATAAGATTACTAGTTGTGACAATTCCATTATGATAGTCTTTAAAAATTTATACTATTTAAGAGTAGTTTATGAGAAAAATTATTAGGGTAAAATTATTATTTTACCTTTTAAATTTAATTATTCAAAAAATTAAAAATCAAAAAGTCAAAAGGATAAAATTGTCATTTTAATTTTATTATAATATTTTATTACACATCTTTTCGTAAAAAGTCAAAAAAATATTCCAAATATATATTTTTTTCTCTATTTTTTTAATCAAAAAATTAAAAAGTACACTATATCCCAAACAACAATTAAAATTTGTAAAAGTATTCAAAAAAAAATATATATATATATATATATTGCATTAAATTATAAATATTTTATCTTTATTTATATGTTATTAATAATGGCCTTTAAAAATGTTATTAACATGACTTCTAAAATAAGTTTTACAAGAATTACAAACACGCGTTAAAATAAATTATTAAATATTCTACGTAATTTATGTTCTATACAAATTTATGTTTTTGAAATAATGCGGTCCATAATTTTAAGGGTTTTACATTAGTTAGGAGAATCGAATTTGAGATAGAAAGAGTAAACTCTTAAGCCCCGGTTTGATTTTCCTTCTAGGTTAAAAAATTACAAAAGAATAAAAAAAAGTTAAAAAGTTAAAAATTACAAAAAGACAAAAAAATATTTATCATTCTAAAGCCAAAAAACCAAATAAAAAAACCAAACAAAAAAAAAAATTCAAATTAAAAAAGTTAAAAAAATCAAAAAACTAACTAAAAATGTCATTGTGAAACGACTCCTTGAATCTCAAACCTCAAAACATTATGCTTTTAAAGTTGTTTGGATCTTACATTCATACAAATATTGAATAAAATATTTAGTTATTGATTTGCGCTACATAATTTTGTCACAATGGGGTGGAATTATCTTGTCTTTCATAAACTTTAATCAAGTTGTATGTCTTCTTAATTTTATTAGTAATTTTATGTTATGTATAAAAAATAATAATAATAAATATATAACTAATATAATTATAACAACAATGATTCATTCCATTAAAAACATCATCACTAATAACACTAATACATTAAAAAAGTAAAAAACAAAAAATATAACTCTAAAACTAAAATATTTCATCATTAATGACGAGACCCACCGTCACCTAATTAGTGTCGGAAGCATTTTTCTAATTGTAAAGATATACTTAGACGTATATAGTCCACTAGTTGTCCACTAGAATTAACTGACACAAAAGACAAATCAAACTAGTTGTTCTACCAATTCGTCACCTCAAACGTCATAGTGTTGAACCCTTGTCCTTATATAAGTAAAGGCATCAATCCCATGAAACTACAAACAAACACACACACACATACTCATCAAACATATATCTATCTACACAACTCATTTGAACACAACCACAACCACAACCACAACCAACTGTGTTCTGTTCTATTCTATACAGAGCAGCCAACCCAAAATTAACCCCACACCAAACCACGCGCCGCTGCAATGGTTCACGGCCACATCCTCCTCCTGACTTTTCCGGCACAAGGCCACATCAACCCTGCTCTCCAATTCGCCAAACGTCTCATTAAGATGGGCCTCCAGGTCACCTTCGCCACCAGCGTCTTCGCCCAACGCCGCATCTCCAAAACCACCGGAGCCGCCGCCGAGGGCTTGAAGTTCGCCGCCTTTTCCGACGGCTACGATGACGGGTTCCGACTAGGAAACGATGTGCAACACATGTTGTCCGAGACGAGAAATAATAGTTCTCGAATTCTCCGAGAGATCATCGCCGCTAGCGCTGCCGAAGGCCGTCCGATTACGTGCTTGGTCTACACCCTCCTCCTCCCTTGGGCGGCGGAGGTGGCGCGTGATTGTCACATCCCATCTGCTCTTCTTTGGATTCAACCTGCCACAGTTCTAGATATCTACTACTATTACTTCAATGGTTATGGAGAGGAAATTACAAAGATTTGCAAAGACCCCTCATGTTCCATCGAATTACCGGGATTGCCATCGATGACTAGCCATGACCTTCCTTCTTTTATAGTCCCTTCAAGCTCAGACCAATACAGTTTTGCACTCCCAACCTTCAAAGAACAACTAGAAAAACTTGATTCAGAAGCCAACCCTAAAGTACTTGTAAACACATTCGATGCGTTAGAACCCGAGGCCTTGAAGGCTGTTCAAAAGTACAATTTGATCGGAATTGGACCCTTAATCCCATCGGCTTTCTTGGATGGGAAAGACCCATCAGATACTTCTTTTGGAGGTGACTTGTTTCATAAATCTGGAAACTATATCCAATGGTTGAGCTCGAAACCTGAATCATCAGTTATTTACGTTTCATTTGGAAGCCTATTAGTGTTGCCAAAGCCACAAATGGAGGAGATTGCGGGTGGTTTGCTGCAAAGTAATCGGCCATTCTTGTGGGTGATAAGATATATAGAAATCGGAAGAAGAAGAGAAAGAAGAAGATAGGCTAAGTTGCATTGAAGAGGTGAAGCAACAAGGGATGATAGTGCCGTGGTGTTCTCAAGTGGAGGTTCTTTCGCACCCATCTTTGGGATGTTTTGTGACGCATTGTGGGTGGAATTCGACGTTGGAGAGCTTGGCTTCTGGGGTTCCGGTGGTGGCATTTCCTCATTGGACGGACCAAGGGACGAATGCAAAGCTTATTGAAGATGAGTGGAAGACAGGGGTAAGAGTGAAGGCAAATGAGGAAGGAATAGTTGAGGGTGATGAGATTAAGAGGTGTGTGGAGATGGTGATGGAAGATGGAGAAAAGGGGGAAGAAATGAGGAGTAATGCAAAGAAATGGAAGGATTTGGCAAGGGAAGCTGTCAAGGAAGGTGGCTCTTCCAACAAAAATCTCATGGCGTTTGTGGAGGAGGTTGGAGGTTGCTTTTAGAGTGTAAACTTGTATAAGGGCGTTTTTTTATTTTTTATTTTTTTATTTTATTCCCTCGTTTGTGAAGAATGTGGAGGTAATTATTCAGTAATTTTGAAGTATAGGGATGTGATATTTTATAATATTATGATTGATAGAAAATGTTGATAGGTAAGGTATTATATTAGGTAATTGAAGAACATGATAAATATATTAAATGATAATTGATTAGAGAGTAAAGACACATGATACTGTGAAAATATTGAATAATTTCGTAGGAGCAATGCTAGGTATCGTGAAAAAACTTTCATGAAAATGATCATGAAAGATTTATGACCTTTGGATTACACTTAAAATAAAGCACCACACACTAATCAAGGTAATCCAAGGATCATAAATTTTTCATAACCAGTTTCATGAAAGTTTTTTCATAATCCCTATCTTTTCTGATTTCGCGGCGGCTAGTTCAGGGTGGTTGTTTTGCTTAATTAGATTTGGATATGATTGCTTAGGCCTTGTTTGGCAAAGGTTAAAATTTGATTTTTAAGGTTAAATCCATAAAATAAAATAATAATAATAAAAAAAGATAAAATAAATAATAAGATAAAATGTCACATCAAACTTATAATCATTTCATTTTTTTTTTCACAAATATCATATTCAACTATAAAAAAAAATCTAATTATCTTTTCAAACGTAAAAATTTTAATCTATTAAAATAGTCAAAAATTAAAATAACTACTAAAATAATCAATTTTCCAAACAAGGCCTTAATGAAATTAAATTTGTTCAAATTTAATTTATTAATATAACGTTTTTTTTCATCAATATGTGATATTTTTTTATTGAAATGCCATTAAAGTCTTTTTATGTTTGTGGCTTTGTAATATTTTTTTAAAATATGTCACTAAATATTATTTTTGTGATATTTTTTAAAAATATGCCACTAATATATTACTATTAAAGTGTATTTTTATTTCAGTGAAAAGCAATTACAATAATAACAATTTTGAACATAAACATCAAATAATAAAACTTGTCATTAAAGATATTGTTCCACTCATTCATATCATATTACTGAAGTAATACATAAATTTGATGGTGTTTGGCCGATCTTCTTGGAAAAACTTACAATTCAAGAGGACTTCCGTGGGACTTTAAATAGGCTTTTTAGAGAAAAGCGAAGTACACCGCCAAATAATAATAATAAAAAAAATTGTCGCAGGGTATGAATGTCAACAAGCAACTGCGTGGTGTTTTTTGAAAAGCTGTAAAAAGTTAGATTTTTTAATTTTTTCTATGATTTTTTTGGCTTTTTAATATAATAAAAAGTTAATTTTGTGACTTTTCTAATTAAAAAAAATAAAAGATTGACTTTTTATTATGTGTCCAAAACAACCCTACAAATGGTCGCATCAATAATAATTTAAGGACATGGTGTCTTATCAATGAATGAGTTTATGGACTAAGGCTTCTTTTGGAAACATCACTTAAAAATTAAAAATTAAAAGTCAATTTTTAATTCATTTTAAGTTACATTATCTATCACATAAAATAGTAAAAAAAAAATTTAAAAGTCAAAAAATTAGTTTTTAATTATCTTTCTAAAACATCCCTAATAATCAAGTCAGATTTTGGGAGAAGATTCACCTGTATTGCTTTCTTTCTTTTGCTAAAAGTTCTTTGGCCCCCTTTGTTTTGGGTGTTGGAGATGGAATGGGATTACAATAGTGGGGGGATCCACTTAATATTCTGTTTGTTTGTAGAGTTCAACAACGGATTGATAAGGCGGAGGCTTCAAGATGGGCCTTGCATACAGGTTTCATAGTCTGCCCTAACACATGGTATTGAAAATTTAGTCCGTTGGTATTAGGGGAGTGATTACTTATTTACCCATCGTTGCCCTAGCTCATCTTTGGAAGAAACAACAGGAGAAAGAAGGAGAGGCAAAGAAAAGCTCTCATCTTCTTCATCAAATTTTCAATCTGAAAAATTCAGTCTGCCCTACTCATCTTTGGAAACAACAACAGCAAGAAGGAGAGGCACAAAGAAGCTCCCTTCTCTTCTTCACAGTGTGCCCTAGCACTCTCTCATCTTCAGATTTTCAATCTTTAGATTCAATGAAGCATCTGTTGTATCGGTAATTTTTTTTTTTTTTTTTTTTTTGTTAACCGAGTTATTTTTAACTTGGTGGTTGGAATTGGGTTTTGTTTCAAATTGGGTTCTGCTACATCTGCTTCAAATTGGGTTTTTTTTTTTTTTTTTTTTTTTTTTTGCATTTGGGGTTTGAATGATATATTTTTTGCACATTTGGGGTTTTGATTGCTGGTAATTGCTGGCAATGTGCAATTTTATTTTAATGGAAAAAGTACAGCAACCAAATAATGAGCAAATGCTCAATTGTTAATTGCAATAGATTTTCTTATTTGCACAATAATAATCAAACCCATCAAAAGATTGGTTCAGACATCCAACTAGCCAAATTTTTGACGATGAAAATATGGAAATCCTCTTTAATTAACTGGCTGTTTAGATGACTTATCAAAAGAGAGAAGAAAAAAAGCTGTCAAGATCCTTTTCCATTAATATTCTTGTCTTAAAAAAATTTAATCTGTGACAACATATTAGCAAAAATTCATATACCTCCACCTCTTCAGTGGGTACTTGTATAAAAAGTTTCGAAATTACCTTTTCTGACCTATGCATGCTGCAATTGTCGATAGTGGATTTATATGAATCCCAATGTTCTTTTGCCATTGTGCTTAACATATTGAGTTGGATTTCAAGTGCTGAATTTGCCTCTGATAACTTTCTCCAAGTTTCCAAGGCCTTTTGAGGCTCATATTTTTGCCACTACAACAAAAGTAACCTATGGTGACGAAAACTAGTGAAGAAAATCAGATTCGTCACTAAATAAAAATAATTCGTGAGGAATTTATAAATTTTGTCACATATAATAAAAAAAATGAAAATGATAGGTGACAAAATTTATTTTCGTCAATAAATACTTCATTTTAAGTGAGGAAAAATTAAGTTTCGTCACCAAAAATTTTCTCGCTACTTTTTTTTGGTGGCGCCAAAATTTTGGGACTTTTGGTGAGAAAAAAATTTGTCACTAATTATAAAATTATTTGTGAGGAATATATTTTCGTCACCAAAACATTTTAATATTTTTGATATCTTTTAGTGAGGAAATAATATTGTCACCAATTTTGGTGGGAAATTTTTAATATATTGAGGGGCAATTAAAAAAAACATAGGGTATTAATTTTTTTTTACCCATTTTCTGTTTATCATCTCTCTCTCTCTCTCTCTCTCTCTCTCTCTCTCTCTCTCTCTCTCAAAATAGGGTATTTATTTGTCTTACCTCTTGCTCCTCCACCACGCCGATCACCATTGTCGCCTCTATTAGCCTTGCCGATCGTCGCCGCCACTAGTAGCCTTGTCGGTAACCGCCACATCTTCTTCACTCGGTGATTTGGTACGTGATTTCTCTTTGCTCTTTTTCTAGTGTCTCTTTCTCTTATTCTCTATATTGGTATGGTGACGAAAATTAGTAAAGAAAACAAATTTCGTCACTAAATAAGAATAATCCATGAGGAATTATAAATTTTGTCACGTATAATAAAAATATAAAAATAATAGGTGACGAAATTTATTTCCGTCAATAAATACTTACTTTTAGATGAGAAAAGAAAGTTTCAAATTTAATTACATAATTTCAAACTTTAACATTATGGAATGTGTTTCTCATGAAATGAACTACATACATACCATGTTTTCCTCATTCTAATACAACTAATAAAAGAGTTTGTGAATGGAATATTCAAATAATGGGTTTGTGTCATTCTTGTAAGAAAAATGACCATTCTTGTAAGAAACTGCCCCGTTTTTTCTTGAGTAAAAGCAGCGAACATATTTACCTATTCAAGTGTTTTTTCACATATTTACCTATTCAAGTGTTGTATGGCAGTAAGATGCTACTTTTGCGAAGGGTTAGTAAGATGTTTCTTGGAAAAGAGAATCAAGAGAAATGGGACTTTATTGGAGTTTATGTAGTTGTGTTTATATCTTTATGGGTTACTGTGTTGGACACTTTATGTTCACACTACACTCAATGACCATTTTTATGCTTGCATTCAAAAATTGATTTAGTTTATTATCCTTATCTTCACTATTGTTGCTTTCAATTTTTTTAGCATTAATACATTTATATATGTTACCTTCTTTGTAATTCTGTTAGTTTTAGGTTTATGTGTATCCCTCATCATTTGTTATAAACACAACTACATCGATTCATTTGACATGGTACCTATCTACTACCTTGTATGCTCCTTTCTGAGGTTTTGATGCTTGTTACAGGTTAATCCCCACACTCATCAGCTAAAGTTGTGCGATTTTGGGAGTGCAAAGATGTTGGTAGGTCTTTATTCATGGAATTTCATGTTTTTTAATGTGTGGCAATGTTTGAAATTTATTTTTCCGTTGTAGGTGCCTGGTGAACCTAACATATCATATATTTGCTCACGGTACTATAGGGCTCCAGAATTGATATTTGGGGCTACAGAGTACACAACTGCAATTGATATGTGGTCTACTGGTTGTGTTTTGGCCGAGCTACTTCTAGGCCAGGTGAGTGTATATTTGAGTTTGTTTTCTGGAACATTGACAGTCAGCACTTTTATTAAGCTTTAAATTTGATGTGAAAGATGCCACTTTACCCCGCAAGAAATCAGGATAGGGACTTGTATGCATGTAATAACCCTCATCACTGTTTACCGAATAACCACCGACTACCGTTAAACTGAACTGATTATGACTGATAATCGAACTGAATGTAATACTGAACTGACTGACTGAAATTGGAAACTGAAGTGATTGAGTACATCTGTTTGAATTGCATTCTATCTGTTGATTGTTTATTTGATATGTTCGTATTTTAGTGTTTAAACTGCTAATTGAAGGCCTTATCAACGGCCGAACCAGAAATTGATTGATATTTTATGATCATTGTAATTTATGTGATTTTATGGTATAGTTATCCAAAAATTGATTAGGTATGATTAAATTAGATTAAAATGAGTTAAATTGCAATAGTTGCCTTATTCACCTTATTGCCATCCTAGTGGGTCACTTACTTAATACTTTGAGGACTCATTCTTATGCATTACAAAACATTTGCTCAGCTCATTCCTTGCTTTAGTCGACCCTAGAGGGAGAGAGAGAGTGAGAGAGAGTGAGAGAGAGTGAGAGAGTTGAGTTCATTTGTAGAATTGTTTGAAGAATTGAAGTATAGGTTGCTAATTTGAGCTTCTAGTCTTGCATTGAAGACCTAAGGTAGAGTAACTACCCTTTTGTTCTTGAGTTTAAGTGATTCTTGCATGATTTATAGCAAATTGTAGCCTTGAGCCAAGTTATGGCTCTTACATGTTGAATTGAAGCTCATTCCTTGCATGCATGTTTGTATTGTAGATGTTGAGTTGTTTTCATGGCAAAATGTTACATGCATGTTCACAATTATGTTTAAGTCCATGATTTCATCATGTTTTGGAAACAATTGGCTCTTTAGAGCATCAAATTGAAGCTTTGAATTGGTTTGAATTCATGCATGTTTGCATGTTCTCCATGTTCATGAAATTGGTTTGAAATTGGGTTTGAATTAAACACCCTTGGGCTTTGATTTCTCAAATTGAGTTTTGAATCATGTTTAACTATGAGTTTATAAGAATTTTCCAAAAAATGGGCCCAAGAGGATCGGTTTTGATGCATTTAAGCTTGAGTTGAGCTTGGAGGTGCAATCTGGAATTTCTAGATTTTGCACTCCCGCTCGAGCGGGGAAAGTGACGCTCGAGCGTGGAATTCGAGCATCCAGTATCTCTGCACTGTTTTACAGTCCGCTCGAGCGGGCGTCGAGCGCCTAATCGAGCGTGATTTTCACCCATCCAGCACTTTTGACTGTTTTTGCAGAATGCTTGAGCGGGTAAGTCTACGCTCGAGCGGAAACCTTTTTCTGCATGTCCGCTCAAGCGGAGTAACCTACACTCAAGCGTGACCCCTGTTTTCTGAAAATGCTTTTTCAAGTGCATTTTTGCATCCTCATCTCATTCTAGGCATTCTTAGGCCTAGTTTAAGACATCTTAATGAGGATATAGATGTAGAACACACCGAGGCAATTAGGGATTAAGTTATTATCTCTTCCGACTGTGTAGCTTAGTGTGTGTTCAATCTGTTAACTGTGTAGGATTGGCTTTCTGAGGAGACGCTCTAGCTTACTGTAGCCCAGAACTCTGTGAGTAATATCTGTGTAAAGATATGTTCAAAATGATTATCTTCTGAACAATTGAACTGTACTGTTTCTGAACTGATACTGTTAATTGAATGAATGTATGTCCTATATTCTGAACTGTATTGTGGCATCCTTAGCACCTACTGTTTACTGTTACTGTTATAGAGATCTCTGCCGGTTCCCTCGTTGGAACCACTACTGTTACTGACTGACGGCCATCATTTACTACTCGGTCTTTTTAGACCTACTGTTTACTGTACTGTTATGCTAATGGATGTACCACATATGACTGTACTGACTGAACGACTGAAATACTGATTTAATGAACTATTTTCATTACTGTAAGGACATTCATTCTTAACCCCTTTACGCATTGTGTTATTCACTGGGCTTTAGCTCACTGCTCATATATATATGTAGGTGTACAGGCACCAGACCGCAGCTAGAAGCGTCGGGGTAAACTCCAGTTTTGTCGAGCCAACCTATGTGCCTCAATGCGAGGTTCCGAGCCTGCCATGCTATGGCTATGGGGTGTTTTAGTTGTCCCCCTTCTGTACTGTTATGTGATAACTGAATAGAATGTATAGACTATACTGTACTGTAAATGGGGATTGAGCCCCCGATCGAAATGAATGTAAATTATGTGCATACTGTTCTGTACTGGTCATGTATATATGTGTGAAAAGTCTTTTTGGCATACAGACTGTCACAGCTCATTGGACATTGTTTAATTACTGTAGTGGCTTCCGCCAGGCCCTGTACTCTGTTTTTCTGTATTACTATTCAGCAGGTCTTCGGTAATCTCGGATTACTGGCCGGTTACGGTGTTAAACCCATAGGGCCGGGTTTGGGTCGTGACAATGCAGTATACTACGGCACCCGTTAATGAAATATTTGCTTAGTAATAATTGGTTTTGATAACTATTTGTTGATTATTTATTCTCACACTTTTTGAATGTGGTATATGTATTTAGATGAATGCCTACCATGCTTCTTCAATTATACCCATTTGCATATCATTCTTTAAGATATTTTTCTTTTGCATTGGCCTTGCATTTCTTTCTGTAGCTTTATAACAATTTTTATTTTACTGTGCTTTTTTGAAATTTTGAAATTTGCTGATTAATTTATAGGGTTTGGGACTAAGCAGTATATATATATATATGTTATATAAAACCCACGTATAACCATAAGATTGTTGTTGCTAAACTTCATTTATTTCGGAATATATTATGGGGCTGGTCCTGATGCATATTGAATGTGGTTTGATTTGCAGCCTCTGTTTCCTGGAGAAAGTGGGGTTGATCAGCTGGTGGAAATAATTAAGGTTCTGAGTAATTTATTTTTATAAACTTTTATATTCTAATATTTGTTTGGTGCATTCTCTTATTATTATTATTATTATTATTTTCTTGGGTGGTTCTATTATAGATATGGGGGACACCAACCAGAGAGGAAATTAGATGCATGAATCTAAATTACACGGAGTTCAAATTTCCTCAGATCAAAGCACACCCATGGCACAAGGTTTGTTAGAAATTCCACATGGAGGATGCATCTTTGACTCATCTTCGTTGATAATAAGCGCATTACTTTCATGACAGCCAAACCTAATGAACTTGTGTTTTCTAAGTTTTTAACAAGCGAAGGCCAGCCGAAGCTGTGGATCTTGTGTCGAGGCTGCTCCAATATTCACCAAATCTACGTTGCACTGTTGTAAGAAATTTGATATTTGCTTATTATATATGAAATAGAAAAATCATTATATGTGGACATTTATTAAAAAGCTCATTGCCAATTTCTGTTTCAATTTATTAAAAAGCTCATTGTCAATCTACGTTGCACCGAATGTTTTTCATAGAAAAATGAAATGTACGAGTAATGTCATTCTCTGATATCCTAATATAGCATTATTATATTATATTTTTAATAAGACATTAGCTAAATTGATAAGTTAATATTGTCTTATGATTTGTCTTTGTAATCAATAGATTATATTGTTATTTTGTTTTGAATCATATAGAATTTTCTGACCTTGTCAAAGAAATTGTAAAATGTTTTTTTAAAAGTTGTCTTTTAATCAAAATCTATGACCTTTTCAGTTGGAGGCATGTGCACATCCTTTCTTTAATGATTTGAGGGAACCAACCACAAGCTTGCCAAATGGTAGACCGCTCCCTCCTCTCTTCAATTTCACACCTCAAGGTGAGTCAACTTAAATTTTCCTTCTTTTTTTTGGGGGGGGTTTGATGGTTCTCTTGTTGATCGTGCCGAAATTTCTTACAGAGCTGGCTGGGGCATCGCCTGAATTGCGTCAACGTCTTATTCCCGAGCATGTGAGGAAATGAATTTGTGCCAAGTAGTGGTGGTATCTGTAGGCAATGTAGATGGGTTTTTGGATGCTTAGGTATCCACACTATGCCAAGTATTCCATGAGGCACCATTCTTTGGACTCCCAAAGTATATTTCTAATGAAACGCGGCCTTAGAGGGTTATGGGTTGCTCGTCAAGCCAGACTTTGACAAAGAAATGTGCTCCAGAATCATGATGTGCTTGGCTATGTGGCTTTTTTGTTCTTTTCATCTACCGTTATAGATGAGTTGTCATGATTTTTTTGTTTTTTTTTTATGTTGTAGTTTTATGCATTTTGTATGCGTCCACACTTGCAATGGATACTACTAACAAAACTAGGCATGCCAGATGGGTTTAGATTGATGTCGTTCAATGTATGCTCTGTTCACTTTTGGTGTTATCAAAGAAATTTAACTGTATTGTCATTTACCTGTCATTTTATGTATGGGAATATTACACTTCATGTTGATATATCTCATGTGATTGCTGGTGGTGACACTCTTTCAAAGTTGTTATCATACACAATTATCTGTTGAAATCATACATAACTACAAAAAAGAATAAAAAAATAAAAAAAAAAAGAGAGAATAACATTGATAGTTGGATTATTTAATATTTACAAAAAAAATAAAAAAATATAAAATATAAAAATATATAATAAAAAAAAAAAGAAGAAGAAAGAATAACATTGACTACAAATTTATTGATAGTTGGATTCATTAATATTAATAAATAAATAAATAACATTGACAAATTTTTTTTTTGATAATTGGATTCTTTAATAATTAAAAAAAAAAGAAGCCAAACATTGAGTAAAAATTTATTTATTCTTTAGTTGGTATAAGTCTAAATTTGATAATAATGCAAAAAGGGTATTTTGTGAAATTTCACATGGTTAATCCTATTCTTATCTCTCAAAACAAACATGAACTATTACTAGTCCACTGGTTATCAAACAAACACAATTTTCTTAATCTCCTCACTATTAGTCCCCTCGCTAACAGTCCCCTCACTAATAATCCTCTCCATTCTACCTCTAAAAACAAACGGGGCCTTTTATGGTTCTTGTTACAGCAGGTGTTCTCTCAGGGGTATTATGCCTGGTAGGAAGAATGAGATTCAAAGTTTTATGTTGGGATAAAAAGAAATAATAAAAGGCATGATCAGTGACGGAGTGAAAAATAATAATTTAGAAGGGGTATTTGTTAATTAAAATTTTAGGCTGTGTTTGGTAGAGTGTTCTAAAATTAATTCTACCTTTACAATCTAATATTATGTTTGGTTTGAGTTTTCAAATCATGATTTTAAATCAATTTCAAAATATATTTTGAAAATATGTCTGGTAAAGCAGATAATTTTTAAATTTTTGGTCTACCCGGTCGTCCGCCTGAACATCCTCCTAGATGTCAGACTAGTTGACTAGAACAGTACTCTTTTTTTTTTGTAGTTGCCAACCGTCACCTGTTATTTGAAAAAAAAAATTATTTGTTTTTAATATTTTTTAAATATAGAAATTATTTTTTAAACCAAATTGGCAAATTATTTTTTTGAATTAATTTTAAAAAGAGTTTGGTTATAGTTTTGAATAGAATTTTTAACAGAGTTTTGAGTTGTCTGTTTGGTTATGGGTTATAAATTTTTCAATTAAGTTTTAAAAACTCTTTTAAAAACTCATAACTAAACAATTTTTCTCATTTCATATGTCACATCACAAATTCAAAATTCAATTTAAAACTTATAACCAAACAAATTTTCTCTTTTCAAATTATGATTCCAAAACTCACAAATTCAAAATACAACTCTATTCTTAAATCATAATTTTAAAATTCTACCAAACACTACCTTAATTTTTTTTTCATAATCAATAACAATAGATAATAATTTTTAAATTATTATTAAGCACAAAATCTTAAATATTTATTAGTAAATTTTTAAATTTTTGTTTTTATAATTGACCTCGTGAAAAATCAGAATTGAAAATATATGGTATTAATTATAACTAGTGTATTATAGGCAATATAAAAGAGTTTTGTGTGTCTTATGATAGATCATATAATAATGTATAAATAATAGTAATACCATATCATTATATATGATATCACTAACTAATAATAAAATAACGCATAGAAAGTCAATCTCACTTGTCAAATATAATAAATAATTCAATAATTTCTTATTTTCGTAATGGGATTAGCTATGTTTATATGTAAGTGATGATTTGATATCACTATTGCACTGAATTTTTTTTTATAAGTTTTTCATACATAATAATGTGACTTATTGTTGTTTTTTCATTTTTAATACCATCATTATTTTCATAATTTGAAAAATGTCATTAAGAACTCGTTTTAAATGTTATTTCTATATAACTTTTTTATTTGTTAATTATTTTCTTTATATGCCAAAAACAAAAAAAAAAAACAAAAAACAAAAAAAGGAGGGGTTAGGGGGTAGGGGTGTAATTTTGGCCCGTGGCCCACGGGCGGCCCAAAGCCTGCCTGAGGCCCAAGATGGGCCCGACCCGTTAAGGCCCCTTTAGGCCCAAGCCCAAGCCTAGCCTGAGATCCAAGGCCAGGGCCTGGGCCATAGTTTTGAAGCCTGGCCCAGCCCATGGGCCTGACCCGCTTGGCCCAGCCCATCGACCCGTCCAAAAGCCCGACCACAAGCCCGACCCACCCGAGGCTCAGTATTATTTTTAATGGAAAATAATAAAATTTTGATGAAAAAAATAAAAAATAATTTAAAAAATTGCCCAAGCCCAAGGGCCCACCCCGAGGCCCAGTCCACTGGCCCGCCCAAAGCCTGAATACCCTTGGGCCTGGGCCTAATTTTCTGGCTTGTGGGTCGGCCTAGCCAGGCCTGATTTTTGGCAGGAGCCTACGAGGCCCAACATGGGCCCAGCCCGAGTCTGGATGGGCCGGGCCGGGCCAAAATTACACCCCTAGGGGAGGTCACGTAGCGCCCTAAACCACCAAATAATTTTTTTCTCCTTTTCAGATCTAGCAGGAGGAAAGGCAACAGAAGCAACCACTTGGACCCCCAACTTTTGGACAAAAATAGGGCTCCCAAATTCTGTAATCGATTGTGTTATTTAAAAGGTTCAAAAAAAGGGCCCAATCTGTAGAGTCCAAATAGAAATTAAATAAATAAATAAAAAGGTCTCGTAACCCATTTCTAAAATAGTCAAAATCTTCGAGAAGTGAGTTACACCAAAATTATGAGGCTTGTGTGGTTTGGAACCAAAATCTTCAAGAAGTAACTTTTTGGCAAGGTTTAGGACCTTCATACCCTTATGGATTTTCAAATCAATTTTTAGTAGTCTTTACATTCTCTGTTAGTAAATGAAAATAATATTTTTTATTCAAAAAATAATTCTAAATAATTATTATTTATATTAATTTCAAATCATACAAATTATTTTAATTATGTAAATTTTTAAATATATTTTTTAAATTATTAATTTAAATTTTTATTAAATATGTTAAATAATAGTTTCATTTTAAGATTTCGCATGAGTTGCACCGAACTATTTTGGCAATTGAATTAAAAGTCAAAAACTTAGCTTTTGACTTTTAACTTTTTTTTTAGTCACATTATTTCTCTAACTTTATATATATATATATATATATATATTTTAAAAATAAAAAATTAACCTTCCCTTCAAAATAAGCCTGTATAAACAATAGCAAATGACAGTCAGAAAATTCCCGTCTGGATCTACCCAACTTGATCTAGCATTGTAAATTTGGGGGGTGGAACATGTGGTTACATATACCCATTGGAGTTTTGAATCAAATATATATATACATATATACCCATTGGAGTAAAAACTTTATAAGAGATTGACCAATAAGTCTCATATTTAGTTGGCTATCTAACTATTTAAAAAGGTTCCCTCTGTTAGCCAGTCAATCCATTCCAAGTCCAATTAAAATCATTGAACAAAAACAAAGGCTTGTTTTGAAAAGTTGATTAACAGTTGTTTTTTGGTTTGTTTTCTATCTTCTTTTTTTTCTTTTTCTTTTTTTGAAAAAAATGTCTAACTTGCAATCCGTCTAGATTTTACTTATACTCCATACAGTTTGAACTTGCACCCAACACAAATTAAACTTGCACACATGAGTTATTGTGGGAGCCAGAAAATAATATATATCAACTTATTGGGCTAACCCAAACAAGGCTTGCCAAGGGCCCAACTATTGGGCTTATTCGGCTCACCCCCGTCTATAAAAGGAAGGGACCTCATAACATACAAGTATGATCTCTCTCTGCTCCAGGAAGCACACAAACACACTTTACTATTCTTAATTCTTCATTCATGGTGACTGACTTCACCATCGGAGTACCTCCGACCGACAATCCCGGTTGGGTGGCGCCGATCATGCTCGTCTTTGCAGGTATACCAGGATCAAGTTCATCTCTTCATTGAATCTCACCAACAATCCATGTAAGAGGATATTTCATGGTCTCACAATTGGCGCCGTCTGTGGGAACGACTAAATGAGATCAACGAAGAACACAATAAACATGTTCCTGTAAGTACAAATTTAACAACAAATTTGATTTATTTGCCCTCTGAAAATTATTTTAAGATTGGTTCTTGGATTGGATATACATATGTTCATGCTTGCAAAATAGAGCTTTTTGTTCACTGTGAATCTTTTATATCTCCTTTTTCTCTCTCTGCAAATGGGTTTAACTTTTCTTGAAGAGAGCATCTTTTCGGCATATTAAAGCTGAGTGATGAAATTTTCTTGTTAAATCTGTTAAAGTTGTTAGTCGGCACTTTACCAACTTATGCAAGTGCACTTCACACTGTTTATGTTGATTGATGAAATTTCGTCTTTTCTTGGAATATACATACATATATATCTATACTAACAATTTCTATGGACTCCAAACTTGGGTCTTTACTTTCTCTCTCTAAAAATTGGGAACTAACTTTTATCACTTACCTTTCCAAGGAGCACTCTAGTGGTACAATCAATTTGGCTATTAAAATAAATTATATATATATAATGATATTAGAAGCTTGCCCAAAAACATTGTTTCCCTTATAACCCTTACCTTTT